AACATAGGCATTGAGCTCAGCCAGACGGGGTTGTGAAACCTCTGCCCGGTTCTTGCCCACATCTTCTTCTCGAAGGTAGAACTGAAGGTAGGAAGAAGAGAAAGGATGAATAACTCGGGTGGCAGGGCAGGAGGAGGAGACGAGACATGGAAATGGGTTGAGGTTACCTGGGAAGAGAGATCAGCCCACTGGGCGGCACCCTGATCGTGGAGGGTGACAGCTTTGACCCCGCCAAGGATGATGTTCTTAGCAATCTCAACTCCCAGGCCCCGGAGCCCAGACACCAGGACACTGGAAGTCTGAAGTCGTTTCATGGCATCGTGGCCCAGTACGTACCTGAGAAGGAAATGAGAGAAAGGTCTAGAGCCTAGCCCCAGTCTGACAACTTCTCCCCTTCCCAGCCCCCAACAGTTCCAGCCTCACAGCTGCCTGGAGTATAGGCCCTCGTCGATATCTGCCTCGCTCCCGTTCTTAGCCATTCCCTGTGGACAAAGGAAGCGACAGAGAGATGGACAGAATGAGGCAAGGCTGACCCTTGCAAGCCCCAGGAACCACCTCGCTACTGGGACTGAGTGCTGAAAACTCACGTTGGCAGGTGCAATGGACACTTCAGAGGGAACAGGATGGGCAGGAAAGCAGTTAGAACCCGGTTTTGGATCAGGCCCGGACACGCGACGCTTCTTGGACAGTGGCGAGCTGGACATCTAGGAGACAGGAAGGAGGGTTGTTAGAACTGGCCCAGAGAGAGGGAGGAGGGATCAGCGTTAGAAGCACAATAGTGAACCGGACATGAGAAAGATGGGCTGAGGAGTCCCATTGAAAATAGACTATTAGTAATTAGGATATCTGGGAAGAAGTCCTCCCAGGAATGGGTGCAGCAGGAAGTCTGAGGAAAAGAAATGGTGCCAGAGCCTCCCACAATGTTAGGGAAGGGAATGAGCTGGTCATACTGGGGGGGGGGGGGGGGGGGGGGGGGGGAGAGGAGAGAAATGTGAGAGCAGGGGGGCCTCTTGGACAGGCAGACAGATCTTTTGGAATATCTCTTGGGCACGGTTAGAGTGAAATAGCAAACCGGGCCCAGGGACAGATGGGGTCTGATCAAGTCCAGGGGGCACATGACATCTGGGGGGAAAGTCAACTATCTGCCAAGCTGAGTGGTGACAAAGGAGAGAAGAGAACAGCGGCAAAGCTTTGGGGGAAGGGCTGTAGTCCTTCCTTTACGGTTCTTCTCCCACTCCCTCAGGCAAACGGGAGGAGGGTGTCAAAGAGGCTTCTAAACCAACAGAAGCCCAAGATGGGGGGGGGGAGAGAAGGGGATGAAAGGAAGGCGCTGTCCAGGGTGCTCCTTGGCCTTATCTCCAGTGGCTACCGGTCCGCCTGCCTGCCACCCACCCGCCCACCCATGCACCCACGCACCCACCAAGGGCCCCGGTGAAGACTGGGGAGGAAGGACTGCCGCACCCTCCCCCCCACCTCTGACGGGCCCCACCCCTCCGGCAGAATCCCGGGTGGGGCTCGACGAGACAGTGGCCCCGCCCCCTGGGGGGTGGAGAAATCGCAGCAAGGGTGGAGGGTGGGAGAGATCACAGCTGGGGGGGGGAGAGATCCCGGCAGTCAAAGGGGAGAGGGAGACAAGGCAGACAGTGGGAGGGGGGGAGAGATCACGGCAGATGGGAAGGGGGGGTGGAGGACAGGAGATGGGGGGAGGGGGGCCGGCCGGCACCCCGGAGGCAGGCCTATTACCAAGGCCTGTTCCCTGGGGCCCGATCACCGCAGTCGCTGCAGTCGCCGTCGCAGTCCGATGTTCAGGGAACTGCCCCCGCCACCGCCTAAGGCCAGCCCCGGCGCCTGGAGTCTCAGCCCCTCCACAGGCTGCTTCGGTCCCAGACACAAGATGGCGGCCGCCCCGCCGCAGAGCCGGAACAAAACCCCAGGGTGGCTCCGCCTCCTGCCGCAGGCACCGCCCAACCCGAGACCCGCCCCCCACCGGCCTGGTGAGCCCTGCCCCGCCGCCCCCCACTTCCTAGCTCTGGCAGCTGGTTGCGGAGCTGGCGTGTGCCCCAAGAGCGGGACTCCTGGCGGCTCGGAGCAGGCACAAGCAAGTCTCCAAGCGGCCCTTCCCCAATCTCATCGCCCCAGCGCTCGAGCCAATCAACGTGCGCCCCCGCCCGCGCCCCCCCCCCGGAACTGCTCCCGCCCTCCTGTATCTGAGTGACACGAGCACTTCCAGCTACCAGGCCCAGCCTCACTCAAATCCTCCAGCATCAACGCCTCGCGCCTGCGCACCCCGAAATGGGCCAAAGCCTACCCCTCCCCACGAGGATCAGGCATAATAAGTTCGCGCACGCGCCTGCCCCGGCGCTTGCCAGAAACCGCATCCCGTCCTTCCTGCCAGCTAATAACGCAAGCAATTGCCGGGGGGTGGGGGGGAGGCAGATTGGGGGGGGGGAAGAACTGCACCGCCCACATTATGGCCCAGCCCGAAATGCCCCGCCCCCTCCGAGGAGCAATGAAGTGCAAGAAGGGCAGAGGCCCCGCCCCTAATGAATAATACCCAAAGAAGACCCCGCCTCCTGTGGCCAGGCAGCCACACAAGGCCGAAACTCTCATCACCACCCTCCTCCCCCGCCCCTTGTGCTCTCCCGTAAAAGCTCTCCCCCGGCCCCCTCTATCCCAACACCACGTCTCTCAACTCACCCCCTCCTCCGAAGCCTAGCCTTCCCCTAGAGCTAGAGCCGGAGCCAGAGCTGACTTTGCTGCCGCCGAGGAGCCCCGGCTTGCGTAGCGACAGGCTGAGCGCGGAACTTGAGGTCCCCGGGCCTGGAGCGGGAGGTACCATTTGGGTCAAGGGGGAAGGATCACCCTAAATGCGACTCTCGCAGCCTAGCCCCTGCTCTCCCATCCGAGTGTGCCCCATTTGCACCTCAAGCCTTATCAGCGCCCTAGTTCATATCAGATCCTGACTCTTGTTGGCCCATTTCAGTAAAAAACAGGCCCCAAGGGTGCTGAAGGAATCCCCTGGTGGAGGGCACGTGGTACGATCCAGCTGGTCGCCGTTGCGGAGCCTGCTGGGAATTGTAGTTCAGCCCAAGCTGGCGCTTGACTGGAGCACGTGGTGAACACTACCCTAAACTGGGCCAGAGTGGAGAAAAGAGAAAGTGTCTAAGAGAAACAACTTCCTACCAGGGCGCGGCCATTAGGGAAAGTTGGGAAATAGGGCGGGACCAATTTTGAAAATCATTCGCGGAGACTGACAGAGCTAAAACTCAATTTCCAGAGAGATTGACAGAAAGAGTAAAAGGGGCAGGGGACCTAGAATTAAAGCCAAAGTGAGGCAAACCTAGCGTTTGAAGCAGAGACACTGGTACAGAGACTGAAATGAGGGCTAAGACCTAGAGACAGGGCACCAGTGGAGCAGAGCTGGAGCCCTAAAACCTGAAAAGGGGTGGAGGGGGGGGAGGAAGAAGAGACAAAAGGAAGGCTGAGAGACGACTCATTTCAACTTCTGTGTCTTATGCGTTTGAGGTCATGTGCTAAGTATTTGAGATGGCAAACCGTGTGAGAGAGAGAGAGAGAGAGAGAAAACAGGTAGAGGCCGCCTTTGGACACCATCCAGTGCAATCCAATCTGTTTCAGAGAAGGGAGCTTAAGGGGGGAGGGGGGGCAGGTCACACAGTATATTTATGGTTAGGGTTTGTCTGGGGTAAAATTTGAACTCAGGTCTTCCTGATTCCAACTCCAGCATCCTACCCACTGCGCCACCTACCCGCCAGATGGGAAATCATAGATTTAGAAATGGAAGGCAAGTTTGAAGTCATAGTATCCCAGTCCATCATTTTAACAGTTGAGGAAAGCCCAAGATGCAAAAAAGTAAGTGACTTGCCCAAGATCATTAGCAGCAGCGTCAAAAGCCATGATCTGAACCTATGGTTCTTTGACTCTATTCCTCGGACTCCCTCCACGTACCCTCCATAAAAGAATCTCTCCAATGATCTCTGTTCTGGGGACTTTCCTCCAGGGGGTTTTGCTTTTTAATCATTTTCGAGGGTAAAGATACTCCACCGTGGGGGTCCCTGCATGATGGAAAGCCTGGCTTTTAGTAAGGTGCCCTGAAAAGACTGAACCAGTGGTCTGAGGACCAATCTGTTTTACAATCCGGACGGGCTCGTCTCCCGTAGGTGCACTATCAGGCTACGGACTCCTTTCCCCCCCCCCCGCCCCCCGCGCCCAGGACACAGTGCCTAGCACACAGTAGGCACTTAATAAGTGGTTGTTGACTTGCTAAAGCAACCTACCTGAAAGCCCCGAGGAGCCAGACAAGGCACGGTCCCTACCGTCACTCTACCAAAAGAGGCAAAGACAAAGAAAGAAAGGTCCCGAAAAGAACAGCGAGGCGTAGAGAACGGGGAGGGCAGGGGTCAAGTCAAGCTAAGGAGCTTAAACGGAAGCGCAGCTGCGCGGCACGACCATTGTCACTCTCTCCAGTGGCGCCAAAACCGCCCGGCGCTCTCGCCCCCACCACCCTCCGCTGGCATCACGTGAGGCGGGACCCCGCCTCCTTCCCAGATGGACGTGTCGCCTGTTTGGCCAATCGCCACGCCTTCTGGGGAGCAAGGGGCGGGACTCGACTTGGAAGATCCGAAGGGACTCGTGGCTCACCGTGGAGAACGCTCGGCAGAGGGCGCACCAGCCCAGAGGAGCGCGCCGCGCTGGGGCGGGCCGGGCTCGCGCTCGCGCCTGGGCTGCTGGGCCGGGAAAGGGAGGGGCGTGGCGACGGGTGGGCGGAGCTGCCGCTGCCGCTGCCGCCATCTTCGCTCGGTAGTTTGGGGCCAGCCAGGGGGAGGCAGCAGCGGGTTTGCCCCCGGGCGGAGAACGGGGAGAAGGAGAAAGGAGGCGGCGGCGGGGGCGGCGGCAGCTTCGCCCGGGTCGTAGCCGTGCTTTCCCGCGGGCCCGGGCCCGGCCCGGTGAGAGCCGGCGCGCTTGAGCTCTCGGCGGGCGCGCGCGCGCGTGCCCGCGAGGGAGGCGGTAGCGGCGTTGGTGGAGGCCGGGTGATGTGCCCGAGCCCTCGCCTCACGGTCCGGACCCGGCAGGTGAGCGGGCGGGCGGGCCCGGAGGGGCTCAGGCTGGCCTGGGGAGGCGGGGGGGGGGGGGGGGGGGGGGGCGGAATAGAGGCCCAGGCGCCGAGCGGGCGCGGGCCCGAGCGGGCGTGCGCGCTCTCGGTGGCGACGCGCTCCCCCCCTTCCTCTACTCTCCTCGCAGCCCTCTGCCTCCTGCCCCCTCCCCCCTGCCCCCTGCCCTCCCTCTCCCTCAGCCCCCCTCCCCCGCCCTCCCCAGGGTCTGCGGTAGACCTGAGCGATGAATGACGGGAGCAGGCGGCTGGCCAGGGCCCAGATCAGGCGGGGCAGCTGGCATGGCCGTGCCTCTGGCCCCCCATGTGCCAGGCCCCGGCTGGGGCCTCCCCATCTTCTGCTGGCCTGTTGGCCCATCCCCTTCGGGGCCCTCTCCCGAAGCCTGGCAGGAGCAGCGGAGTACCTTGGCAGTCTTGCCAGGGCAGAGGCCAGGCTGGTCAGGGGGACCGTCCATAGCCCCGGCTCCTCCTTCCTCCTGCCGGCTACACTGGGCTGCTACCTGGCCCTGCTTGCCCGTGGTTGCTTTCTGCCGTCCTAGCACCTCGACCGGCCGGCTTTTGAGAAGGTCCTTTATTAGCGTCACCTGCTGGGGTAGCAGCTGGTAGAATAGGATAGGAGCAGGGCAACGAGGCCTTCGCTCTGGTCTCTGGGCCCCAGCATCACCTGGGGGCCGCTGCTGGCCTACCTGAATGAGCAGACTTCTCCAACCCTTGCGATCGGGACCTGACCCTAAACGCCAGCTTGGCCCTTCTAAATGGCTGAGCCTTGGTGTTTTTAGAAAAACGGAGCTGATGATATTGAGACTGTAAGGAAAGGACTTTGTAAACTTGCCCAGCTTGCTCTAGAAACCTGAGGTGTGAGGGCTATTCGGGACACACGTAGGGGGCAGGGGAGGGGATTCCCCTTCTCCGGGGATTGAGGGCAGAAAGAAAGGCACCTCTTGTGGCCCAGTGGCCTTTGCTCACCCCTTTGGGCCACACCTGGCAGACTGAAGGGCCAGGCCTTGGCCTGGATAGAGTTCCTAGTTACCCGATTGGGCCTACGTCGTAGGGGCAGCCTGGCGAAGCTTATAGGCTTCTCAGAATTCTGTCCTTGTGTAATAGGAGACACTAAATTTCAATTAGTGAAAATAACAGTTGGAGGCCTCGCCCCCCCCCCCCCCGCCGCCCCAAATCTGGCCGTGTTAAAAACCAAGTTTGAAACCCTTGCTCCAGAGGGGATGGGTGCCGGAGTTCAGTATGCTCTGAAAGGCACACAGGGGAGGGCAGCAATGATCCTGGTGCTCACTCCAGAGTACAAAGGGAGGAAGCACAAGGACTAAGAAAAGGTAGAAAAAAGAGTTTAGGGCAGACTCAGGGAGATGGAGGGGCTTGAACTCAATCCTGAGACATTCCCAGGATGTTTGAGGCCTGAGGCTTTGTGCAGAGGTGCCTTGTTCAGGCCCAAAGAAGCCAGGAAGGCAGCTGGAGCATTGCACTGGCCCTGGGAGCCCAGAATTCTTCAGGGCCTTGGAGAAGCACGCGTGAGCCCTGGCCTTGACCTTGGGCTCTGGCACTGATGGGGAGTCGTCCTGGCTGTTCCTGGCAGCTGTCCCTTCTTCTCTGGGTGTGGGACTGAAAGCGATAGCCACCGTTTCTCTGGCCCTTTACAGTTCATTCACGTGTACCCACGCTTTGTCCCCAGCAGCCTTCTGAGGAGTTTAGTGCAAATAATTCTTGTCTCCATTTTCTGCAAGAGCGAACCCAGATGCAGAGATACTTGGACGTTCTCAACCAGGACAGAGTGGCAGCCCTGGCTCTGACTCTCCGTCTCTCTCTCTCTCCCCCCTTCCCCTCCCTTTCTCCCCATCTCTAACTTTCCTGTGCCGGAGACAATCCAGATCACTGCTACTGTTCCTCTTTGCCCTGTACCAAGAGTTGGGCAGCCAGCCCTGCCTGGATGGGCTGGGGCTGCCCCTGATCCCCTCTTTTTCCTTTGTCTCCCCTAGATCCCTGGTGGGAGTTCTTGTGCAGGCTGGCGGAGCATGGTGGCAATAGCAGGGCTGGTGGCAGCTGGGAAGTGAGGCGGAGCCATCGGCCCAGGAGCAGGCCCCCCCCGGACATGGAGTATGAAAGACGGTGAGACTGGGGAGGGGGCTGTCCTGAAGTAAGGATCCTTTGGGCCCTGGGTCTTTACCGAGCTCCCACACAGGATGGGTGCGGTATGCTGAGAAATGCCAGGTGGCACCCACGTCTACCTTATATACAGTGGGTAAACCCCCAGCCAAAGAAAGAGAGAAGTTGTGCTAGAGACCAGTCTGTGTGGCAGAAACAAGGGGCACTTTCCAGTTTTCCCCACGGTTGGGTTTTGGGGAGGGGAGGGATGTCCAAAACTGAATGTTTTTCTTGGAGAAAGATTCAGAGACCACGTGAGAAGGGAGGTCTGCTCATGGCTGTCCCCCATTGCCGAGACTTCTTGGAGCTGGGCAGTAGCCATTCTTTCTAGAAAGCTGTCCATCCACAGCCCTCCCGCCTTTAGGTGACCCAGGTCTCTGCCTTGACAAGTTCAGCAGAAGAACCAGTCCCTGACAAAGGGCCTTGTGCCAGTGCACCCTGGGATGGAGGGCTGTTTGCCCGGATTCTAAGGAGCTTGACCAGGACTTGAAGAGAGAGAACAGAGCAGGAGGCTTCCTCAGCTGCCTTTGACCACGTGGGCATGTGATGAGAGGCTTCAACGAGCCCTGCTCGGGAGAGGAGCCAGGGTTGATCTCCTGGCCTGCCCTGGAGCCCAAGGCACTGCTGAGCTAGGGGTGAGGAGGCAGGACACTTTCCTTCCTTCCCTGAGCAGGAAGTCTTGGAGCTGGCTTGACCTCGAAGCTTTGCTCTGGGTGGCAGCGGCCTCTTCAGCAGTCCTTATGCTCAGTAATCGAGAGAGGCCCCATTTGTAGGACACAGACATGCTCCCCCAGAGCTCACGGTTCGGGACCCAGATGTTCTGGTAGCCGTGCCCATTGGTAACCAGGATGACCGGGGCTGAACAGCCAGTCAGCTAAGGAAATTGCTTCTCGTTGTCTTTACCGTGGCTGGTGTCATTGTTTGCTGTTCCTCGGTGGTCGGCTGGCACAAGAGTTCCATAGGGCTGGAGGTTGCATGGCCTCTGAACTCTGCACAGATGGTGCCATTGAGCTGCCCACAGGGTGTTTTCTCCTCCAGGGCCACCCGGACTAGGCAGGTGCCAGCTGGGGGCCCTTTCAGGTTTGCAGAGAGGTACATCATGCCAGGATCATCACCTCCATTTTATAGACAGTTGAAAGGCAGGGATTCCATGCCCCCTCCCTCCCCCGGCTTTGAGGGTCACCCGGAGTACGTCTCCTGAGCCCAAATACAGTGAGTGTTCTTCCCTCTCCACTGGTTCCAGCCAGTACCTGGGTTGGAAGCTCCAAGACTGGGCAAGTCAGAGCCATTCTCTAAGCATTTATGTTCTTCTCTGTAAGTTTGGGATCATTAATACTTGACGCTACCTCTCGCCCTCGAGGGGCCTTTGTAGGGAAAGTATTTCTCAGCCCTCTGGCACCCGAAAAGCTGCTCTGCTCATTTCAGCCCCTGCTGAGCCTGGTAGGCCAGGCTGTGACCTCTGGCTCCACTGGTAGAGAGCCCTGGGCCCAGGCTGGCCTCTAGTTCCTCCCAGGGGCTGTGCTGGGCTGCACCGGGTGATTGATTTCCAGGCTAAGGGCTCCCCTCATTTCTCTGTCCTTTTCCCAGTGAGCATGCAGGACCGAACCTAAAAGCTGGGGTGAGCCTTATTTAGGGATGGGGTGTGGGCCCTTGCAAGTGGACCCATAGAACCCTTTTCGGAATGGCAGCTTTTGTGCTCAGACTGGCTTTGGACCTAGGTTTCTGCGCTCACTTGTGTTCTTCCCTGCCCGCTGTGCTTTAGAGACAGGAGCTGAGGCCTAGGCCTCCAGTGAGCTTGAGGGCTTCTTCTACTGACCTGGAACCGTGTCCCCTCTCTATAGAGGTGGCCGTGGAGACAGGACTGGCCGCTATGGTGCCACTGACCGCGGCCTCCAGGATGATGGGCTGGACAGCCGGAGTCAGAGAGACCACGATTACCGGGACATGGATTACCGCTCCTATCCCCGGGACTTTAGCAGCCAGGAACCCCGCCATGATTATGATGACTCGTCTGAAGAGCAGAGTGCAGAGGTGAGTGCTGGGCCTAGTGGAATGGCCACCCTCAAGGCGAATGAACTCTCTTCTGGCCTGGTCCAGTAAGTCCGACTGACCTCATCCTCTCACCAGGGAGAGTGGCCGGCCCGACCTGGCCTGCCCCACACTGTGCCCTTTGGGCCCTCTGGGCTGCCCCCTGCCCTTTCTCAGCTGGCTCTGCTTCTCAGAGTGCCATGGTCTCGCCTATCTCTGGAGGACTCCTGGGGGGAGGAGGAGGTCGATAGCTCTCACTTCATCAGCTTCTGTAACTGTTCCCAGGGCAGGCAACCTACCCACCCACCAAGCTTGTCTTAGATTCCTGAAGAACACCCAGAGCCAAGTTAGGGTTCAGTACTGCTCCCAGTTTGACAAAGAGTTCTGCATTTGTATGATCAGGAGTGTTGGCCGGGACGGGGTTGGGGGGGTCCCGCGGGGTGAGAGGCCCTTCCTGCCATGCAACTGATGTGGAGCAGTACCGGGATGGGCCAGCCTGCCCTCAGGTGACCCTGGTGTGTGTCCTGTCATCCCAAGGGGCTATGTGTGGACCTCCTAGTCTGGCACCCAGGGAGCCCATGGGAGTCTAAGAGGAAAAGTCCCCAGTATGAGGGGAGACAGCCCCAGCCCTCAGGTGACCCTTAAAACTCTATAAAAACTGTGAGCTCTGAGTGCAGAACTTTCCCCTGCTCTAGGAGAAACTTTTAGCTGTCAGTAGACAAGAAGCAGCCTTGTCTTTGGCGATCTCTTAGGCTGAAGGAAAAGGCCTGGTCTCTCTCTCTGCCTCCACCGAGTTGGGGAACGTGACATTCGCGTTGGGCTGAGTGTTGGTTTGTGAGGCCAGAGCAAAGGCCCTTCCAGTGGCTTTTTGCAGGACTGCCAGGCCCAGGAACTTTTACTAGGGAGTGGAAGAATTGAGCTCAGGGGCAGGGGCTCCTGCCAGGCCCCTTTGGGGTGGGGATTTTTTCTTCTTGCTCTCACCCCAGAGAAGGGCTTAGTGGGTTCTGGCTTACTTGGTTAGGCTAGGATGAGCCTGTGGGGTGTTAAGGAAAGGAGCGAGGCAGAGGGACATAGGGCCCAGCCTTGGGAACGGCTATGACAGAGTCCTTGGCAGAGTCTCCAAAGGCCAGGCCTAGACTGGGCACAGGTGGCAGGTGAACTGCTCTTGCCATCCTGCCTTCCATCCTGCCCTTTACTGCTAGGGCCTCGACTGGACCTTCCTCCCTCCCACCTGCAGTGCTCGCTAGCCTGGCTTTCTGGTCCCATGGTTTGGGGAATGGTAGGACCAGTGGCTCCTTGGCTCTTGGTAACACCATCGATGCCGGCAGCCAGCCATTCTCGGCAGGGACAGGGCCTCATTTGCTGAGCCTGTACTACTGTTTCTGCAAGCCCTGTCCCACCTTTCTGTGCTTGGGGCCAAGGATGAAGCTAGTGTTGGTGATTGAGTGGTCTCAAGCCTGGCCGTTGGCACTCTGGAGACTTTGACCTGCCCTGGGCTGGGGGTCTTGCAGTTCCTGTGTTTGGGAGGTGGGCGGCTCTCCTCTGCCCCCTGAGCTGCATCTCCATCTCCCACCTAGTGGAGCCTCTCCACTTCCCCTGCCACCAGAGGAAAGGAAGGGCTGGTATCCTGAGAGGTTATGCAGAATCCCTGCAAGCCTGAGGAAGGGCCTGCCTGCCCGTGGCCTGGCTTCACCGAGTCTTCTGGCTTTCAAAGCCGTGGCGGGCCCACAGCAGGCTGACCGCCTGGTCTCTCTCGTCCCCTTCTGTCCCTCAGGATTCCTATGAGGCCTCCTCAGGTTCTGAGACACAGCAGCGTAAGCGGGACAGCCCTACCGAGCCCCTGGGCTTCCCCGGAGATGGGGACTACCGAGACCAGGACTATCGAACTGAGCAAGGGGAGGAGGAGGAGGAAGAGAAGGCCAGTCACATCATCATGCTACGGATGCTGCCCCAGGCAGCTGCGGAGAACGACGTACGTGCCACACCCCTCCTCGCTGTGCCCCCCCCCCCGCCCCCCCCCCCCCCCCCGAAGACTCGGCCCAGATTAAGAGTGAACTTGTATGGGAGTGGGGGAAGCAGCAGGTAGATGACATGAGCCTTGAGCCCTAGGCCTCCTGGGAGACAGGGATTCAGTCCCATCCTTGGTGCCTCAGGGAGCCCGGGATGCTCCTGGGGAGCACCACAGAGAACTGGGTAGAACCATCCCCCACCCCTGTGCCTTGGCCTTGCCAGCCCTTGTTCTAGTACAGCGTGTCTCCTCCGCCCAAGGCAGCCTCCTTATCTGATGCTGTCCCTGCTGTCTTGCTTGGGCTCTGGCCTTGAAGCTTTGGTCACTCCCAAAGCCCAATCAGCTGTCGCCCAGTTGCCTCATCATGGATGATCTGTCTTGTATCCATCCCTCCTCCCCCTCCTTCTCCACTGCAACCTTTTGCAGGATCTCCTGGCTTTGACTCTCTTCCTTCCAGTCTCCCCTGCCTGGGTAGGCCTGCGGGCATCTTTGTGCAATTCAACTTTCAGTAGGTCCTGTCTCTTCCCCAGAGACGGGTCCAGTTAAAGCAGGGCTTTTTCACCTCTTTATGTGGCATGGCCCCCTTGGGCATCAGTCTGGTGAAGCCTGTGGACCCTTTCTTAGAGTCATGTTTTGAAATGCAGAAAATAAAATACAGAGAATTACAAAGGAAACCAAAGGTTAGTGCAAATAAAGATGTGATTGTTTTTCCCATCCATGTTCTCGGACCCCCTGAAATCTATCCACAGACTCCATGAGAGTCCCTGGAGCCCAGGTTAAGAACCCCTGAGCTGGCGTGATAGAGCATCCATTCCAGGATGAAGTCTTAAGTTCTCGTACCTGGCGCCCAAGGCCCTCTGGGGCTCACTCCGGCCTCACCTGGTCTCCCACTAGTTCTCAGAATGAGTTTTTTAAGCCATCAGACTCGTTTCCTTTTTCTCCTCTTCCCATGTGATACTGATTTCCTCCCCTTCCTGACCCCCCCCCCCCACACACACACCCCTCCCCTTCCAGGCTCTACCCTGAGCTCTTTCCTGCTTCTAGCAATCGCTTGCCATTTTCATTGGCCGTGTGTCTCATACGGATGCTTCTTGTCAACCCGTTATAGCAAGAACTATTGGGGGGCCACACGCCCAGTATACTGCGTGGGCCACTCAATAAAGACTTACCTAGCTGCCTTGCTCATGCCCCTTTGTGCCATCCAACTCGACCCTTCTTTCTCTGAGCCATCTCCTATCACTCTGTGTGCCTTCCATCCCTTTCTGATCCCGGGTCCTAACTTCTCCTCCTAGGATCCTCCTCCAGAGGCAGAAACATGACCTTGATTTACTTCACCACCCCATCATCCACTTTAGTTCCTCAAACCCTTTAGTGTGTGCTGTGGGCAAGGCCCTGAGAAAAGAAATACAACGTGGATCCCACTGTGAGCTCATGTTTCTACTGGGGGTGGGGGTCTTCAGCACACATGCAGCTCTTGTGAAGGAGGTAGTCTCAGAGGAACTTCAGATTGAGATGGGGCAGGGAAGAAGGTGAGCGATGGTGTGAACAGAGGCGAAGGGGAGACCGAGGCAGGACAAAAACAGGCAATGGAGATACACGGACAGCAGCTCGAAGGGGAATAGTTTGAGAAAGGGCAGGATACTTGGGTTGGAGTCTGAATGTGGAGGGAATGAACTCTGGCATCTCCCTCGTTCTGTAGATGAGGGAAATGAGCCCCAGAGAGGGGCACGGACTTTCCCCTTTCTACCTCGTCCACATGCTACTCACCTAAGAAAGCCCAAAGTGACTGCAAAGTTGGAAGCATCCTCAGAAACAGGAAAGGAGGCGCATCTTGTGGGAAGGCCGGCCAAGAGCTTTTGGTGTCAGTCGGGCATCTGTGGGGAGGTGGCCAGGCCCAGGGGAAAGATCTGGATCTGGGAGTTCTCTGAATAGGGCCTTAAGAATGGGAAAAGAGGGGTCTAGCAGCTCTGTGCTCCCCCCAAGCCCTTTCAGTCTGCGTTTCTGCTGAGACCCTTGCTGGGGCAGCCAGCCTCTGGGTGCGTACGCCATCCATCTCTGTGAGGTTTTCTGGGCCATTTGGTGTGGAGAAAGAGTTGAGAGGATGGCATTTCCTGGCTGAGCATCCCAGTGCCCCCAGACTAGGAGTAGCGGGGAGCTCTCAGGGGCTTGGGACCGAGAGGGCCTGCCAGCAGCCAGCTGGCAAACCCGAGGGGCACCTCACACAAGATTTTTTACCCTTTCGGCTCGCCTGGCACCCTCAGGCCACCTCCAAACAAATCTTGTTTTTAAATGCCTAAGATGGCAAAGAAAACCAATTACATTGAAGTACGGTGATCAAAATGTTAAAAGAACAAAGTTCATGGTCCCCAGGTTGAGAATCCCCAAGCCAACATGTGCTTTTTAACTCCACAGAAAAGAAAAGGTGGAGTGTGAACTGCACTCTGCCCTCCCCTTTTCCCCACCAAAGCTGTGGCCAAGGAGGTCCTGTCTCAATGACCTCTGACTTCTGCACTTTTGTAGCATGAGGTCAGCACAAGCTGACGTTGGCCGGTGCTAGGGCCATGGCCCCAGTGGGTCCTCGTAGCCCTGAAGAGGCTGGAGGAGAGCGTTGGACTCCAGCTTGGTCTTGAGATGCCATCATGAACCAGTCAGCGTTGGCTCATTGGGGTTCGCTTTCCCTTTCTCTTTCCATGTGTGCTGTCCAGAGGTCTCTTTTCCAGCACGCCTCCAGCCAGTGCCACTCAGCCTCCTGACGTGTCTGTCCTGTGTCCTCCCCACAGATCCGAGCGCAGCTGCAGTCCCACGGGATCCAGGCTCGGGAAGTGCGGCTAATGCGGAACAAGTCTTCAGGTGAGCTTTCGTTCCCAGTGGCCTTGCTTCTTGCTGCTCTTGGCCAACGCATCTCTTCCTTCCTGCCCCTCCCCCTTCCCTTCCCACCTGTCCATTGAAGCTGAGACCACTGGCTGCTTTTCTTTCCTTCCCTCCTCCCGCTGGGGCTTCCCCGGACGTTGGTGCTGGTCTGGTGGGGGAGGGGATGACCGGTGGGGCTGAGCTCGGCCCGGGACCGACTCCCTCCCTAGCCTGGGGACTGACCCTAAGCATCTGAGATGGCGATTCTCTCCCTTTTCCATGCCGGTTGTGCCCACCATCCCCTTCCTCCACTGATAGCCTGTGTCTTGAAGTCCAGATGAGATGGCGCTGCTTGCCCGTCCCAGGAAAGGCATGGGGGAATGGGAGTAGCCCCACTGAGTGCTGGCCCCAGCCCTTTACTGCAGGCTGGAGGTTTCGATGAAAGATGTCAGGACCAGCGGCTGAGGCCCTGAGGCACCACGGGGATCACTCAGCCCGGTGGTTTCTTTTTTCCTTTCTCGGCTTTTTCTCTCTTTCTCTCTGCCACCATCCCCCTTTCCTTCTCACCTGCTAGTTCTAGTCCTTCCTGAGACACAGCTGCCCCCATTGCCCTTTTTTGAAGGGTGGGGAGCCCTCATCAAGGCCTCTCTTCCCATATCCCCTCCTTCAAGGCACGGAGCCATTGTCGGTCAGTTCACGCCTTAGCCTGGACAGATTGGGACATGGGGAAGCTAAGTCCACAGCTAACCCTTTCGCCTTCAGTCGACCCCCCTGGCCCTCACCTCACGTGGACTTGGGTACTGGGGCTTCATCTGCCACCCGTCCCCCTCCTCGACTAGAGCCAACTCGGTTCTTTCCATTCCCAATTCCCCACCCCCCAAGACGTGGACCCTAGCGTTCCTGGGAGCATCTAATGGGGCTGGGGCCTCCTGCCTTTGAGGTGAGGTACTCTTTTTCATTTGTTCTTCAGCCTCTGTTCTGAGCCACTCGGAACATCCCAGCCCGGCAGAACTTAGGGGGCATCCAGGCCCGGGTGTATCTGGAAGCCAGGGGCCAGCTGCTCCCTCCACAGAGAGGATCGGTTTGGTTTGGTCCCCACTTTTCCCTTTAGCCCAAGCTGGCAGTGCCCCTGAGCCCCTGTGGGCAGTTCCAGCCTATGCCCTGGCCCTTCCCACCATTCTTCTCTCGCCCCCTCCTACCTCCCCTGCCCTGCCAGCCCCGCCCCTAGGAACACCCATTGTCTCCAGCTGTTGACTAACCCACTGCGTCTGTATCTGAATGCTGTCTCCAGGTCAGAGCCGGGGCTTCGCCTTCGTCGAGTTTAGTCACTTGCAGGACGCTGCACGATGGATGGAAGCCAATCAGGTTGCTTTGCTGCACTTGGAACCCTGCCCCCCCCCCCCCCACGCACACACCAGTACTGCCTGGCGCACGCCCGTGGGCGCTGGCCACCCGCCCAGGGATGGCCCCCTGCCTGCCCCCTCTCTTCCTGCCCTCCTCAGTCCTGGCTTCCCCTTTCCTCCTGAGGAATCCTCTCCCAGCTCCCTGCCCCCACCTTCCCCAGTTGCTGAGGGGAAGGTATGGCCAGGGATGTCTGAGAGTGGGGGTTGCCCTCTCCTTTGTCATTTCACCACCCCCTCCTTGGAGCTGGGGCTGGGCTTACAGGAGTGGAGTCCCCTTCTCCCTTTGACCCCTTCCAGCCCAGCCAGGGATTAGCTGTGCCTGGTACTAGGAGGGCGGCCCCAAGGGGACCACCTCCTTTCTGCTCAAGAGCCATGAACCACTGGCCTGAGGTATCCTGCCCCCCTCTTCCCCCAGTGGCCTTGGGGGTCTTCCAGAGGTTTTTGTTGGCAAGAGCTTGGTCTCCTTTCTGTGTGTTTGGATTGGCTGTTGGTTTTTCCTGCCCCCACGCTGGTGCACGAGCACACATCCATGTGTGAATGTCCCCAACTCAGGCAGATGACGAGGGGCCCGGGGTTGGGGCCCCAGGAGCCATTACCATGGCAAGACTGAGTGGTACAGGGCCCGGCGCAGGCTCCTCGCGTGGCAGGCTGCTGTCGAAGGAAGCCAGGTTAGGCAGGGCCAGGCTGACGTGTGTCTCTCTTCCCCGCTCCCCCCCAGTTTTTTCTACCTCAAGGCCAAGGTATAACCTCAGGCCTAGGAGCTGCCCCTCTCCCCGCAGGAAAGTGTGAGGGACCCAGAGTCCCCTCTTAGCCCACTGAGCTGGCAGCCATTTGCCACGTGGACAGGGCACTGAGGAGAGGCTGGCATGGCAGGGTAGGGCAAGTGTGGTGGAACGTGGTTTCTGGCAAGGGGCGTCCTTGTCTGGGCCTCGGTGGCAGGAGGTAGCTGTGGAGGCCAAGGCCAGGAATGGGGCCTGTGAGGCCAGTAGGCTAGTGTGGTTGATGGGCCGTGGGGGAGAAGGCCTCTCGGCAGGAGGTGCAACCTTTGATTGTGGCTGTTTTCTCTCTCTCTCTCTTCCTCTCCATTTTTTTCTCTCTCTCGCGCTCTCTCTCTCTCTCTCTCTCTCTCTCTCTCTCTCTCTCTCTCTCTCATATCCCTGAGTATAGCTTGGGTAGCACAGGGCCCCCAGTGCGGCCTGTGTCAGGGCCAAGCGGATCCCCTCACCGGCCCATCGGTGTTGGTTAGACAGTGCGTGCCTGCTGGTGTGAGTCCACGCGTGTGCGTGCGCGTGCTTGTGTCCGGAGAAGCAGCCGCAGTACCCGGGGGCCACACCCTGCGGCCGTGGCCTCCCTCCCTCCCTCCCTCCCTCCCTCCCTCCCTCCCTCCCTCCACTCCCTGTTGTCCTTCATCCATTCAGCTGAAGGGCTGGCTCACTCTCTCTCCTCCTGTGCTGAGGTGTGTGCCAGGCGCTGGCCCCCTGGGCTTGGGCCTCACAGCCTTCTGCTTTTCCCTACAGCACTCCCTCAGCATCCTGGGCCAGAAGGTCTCCATGCACTACAGTGATCCCAAACCCAAAATTAATGAGGATTGGCTTTGCAATAAGGTGAGGAGTAAAGGAGTGGGTGAGTCAGGATGGGCCCCTGTGGGGCTGGCCCTGGACTAAAGCCAAACAGTTCCCCCCTTCCCCGTCCCCCCCGAACTCCCAGGCCTTCCTGTGGATGCCTCTGGCGAAGTGGCCCGCACTCAGACAGCTCACGTTGATTGAAAGTGTTGGGTTACAATGATCTCAAACCCTCTTCTCTGTAGTTCCCCTATTGCTTCCGGTTTTGACCTCTGAGGCCAGGCAGGCTGAATCGAGGCCTTCTTCCTTCACACTTGCTTAGCTATTGGGCGCCCCACTGGTGCCCCATTCATTCATTCATTCGTTCATTCATTTGACACTCCTGAGACCAACTCTGTTATTCCATGAGGGGAGAGAGTCTAGGGTAAGGGCCCAGGAGGCTTCTGCTTTGGAGACTTTCTAGCTCTGGGACCCTGGGCAAATGATGTCCTTTCTCTGAGCTCTACTTTCCTTCTCTGTAAAAACAAGCTGATGCCACTGGACTGTTGCAAAACTGGTTTTATTAGTGTCCGTGTGGCAGGTGAACCCAGAGCTGCCCTTAGCAGGACGGAATGGAGAGGTCAAGAACGGTCTCCTTGGGGAGGGCTGCAGGGGCTGGGGTGGCTGTCGCCACAATTGGACAAGGGACATAACTGAGACCGGGTGTGAGCGAGCAAGGGATGGGCCAGGGATCGGGCCGTGGGAGAGACTGGAGGGGCCTGGAATGCAACCTGGGCTCAGTCAGGATGCGTCTTTTCAGGAACTTCTGAAAGAAATGTGAGTCAGGGAAGGACGTGTTCAGGCTGCGCTTCTTGGAGGAGAGGGAGGGGAAAGAAGTGCCAGGGTACATAGACTGAAGTGAAGTGGGTGGGAGCACAGAGAATGAGCAGTGAAACTTCAGGATTGGAGACCTGAGGAGGGGCAGATGAGACTTGTCGGGGAGCCTTTCTGGGCCCATTTCCACCTCACGTCTAGCCTGGCCTCTGCTTCCTTTGCAGTGTGGAGTCCAGAACTTCAAACGTCGAGAGAAGTGTTTCAAGTGTGGAGTGCCCAAGTCAGGTGAGCTGGGCCTAGGAAAGGTGGCTGGGGGGCAGTGAGCTCGGCCTCTCTCGGTGGTCCCAGGGTCCATCGGCCTCTCCTCTTTTTGTCTTCTAGAAGCAGAGCAGAAGCTGCCGCTGGGTGCACGGCTGGACCCGCAGCTGATGCCTCTGGGTGGCCGGGAACTGAGTCAGGGTCTGCTTCCGCTACCCCAGCCCTATCCAGCCCAGGGGCTCTTGGCCCCGCAGGCCCTGTCCCAGGGCTCTGAGCCCACTTCGGAGAACGCCAACGATAGTGAGTCCTGCCTGGGGCCCCAAGGAATGGTGGGCGATGGGAGGGCCACGGCCAGCCTCTACCCTGATGTGCTCCTCTGTTGTCTCACAGCCATCATCTTGCGCAACCTGAACCCCCACAGCACTCTGGACTCAATCCTGGGAGCCCTGGCCCCCTACGCCGTGCTGTCTTCCTCCAACGTCCGGGTCATCAAGGACAAGCAGACCCAGCTGAATCGAGGCTTCGCCTTTATCCAGCTCTCCACCATCGTGGTGAGGGCGGCACAGGGGGGCCCAGGGGGCCCCCAGGGCTGGCAGGAATAGGGCAGCAGAGCCCCAGCCCTGGCCTGGAGCCTGACCCTGCCACCCTGCCTTTTCTCTGCAGGAAGCCGCTCAGTTACTGCAGATTCTCCAAGCTCTCCACCCTCCCCTCACCATCGATGGCAAGACCATCAATGTGGAGTTTGCCAAGGGCTCCAAGAGGTGAGACTCCCCAAGCCCACGCTCCTGCTCTGTGCCTTCTGTGTTCCCCTGGGCCCGTGTGACCCTTGTGCACCCCCTCTCCCACAGGGACATGGCCTCCAGCGATGGCAACCGCATCAATGCTGCTTCTGTTGCCAGTACGGCCATCGCTGCTGCCCAGTGGGCCATCTCGCAGGTACTTCAGGAAGGCAGGCTTCTCCCAATGCCACCCACCTCAGACTTAGGACTCAGGATCCTTTGGGGCCTTGGGAATGTCTCCATTTGCCGGGAATTCCAAAAGCCACTCTGCTGGGTACCTAGATGTCTGGGGGAGCTATGGATTTGGTTGAGGCCCTGGGTTGAAATTCTAGCCTGTGTGACCTTGGGTAAAGCACTTGGCCTCTAAACCTCATGCAGAGCCAGTAAAGAAATGGGAGGTGACATCACTGTTCTGCCTCTGTGACTCTCCCATGCTTATCCCTCTGATCTGCAGTGCTAGGTACTGGCCTCCCTTTTGTAGAGGCCCAGGGCTCTGCCTGGTGCCCAGCCCCTCACCTGCTCATCCCTCACCCTATCCCACAGGCATCCCAGGGTGGGGAGGGGAGCTGGGCAGCGCCTGAGGAGCCAGCGGCGGATTACAACTACTACCATCAAGACGAGGCCTACTGTGGCCCGAGCAATGAGGCCGCGCTCTATGGCCACAGTGGCTACCTGAAAGGCGCCACCAAGGCCTTGAGTGTGGCCGGCAGCAAGGGAGACCCAGCTGGAGCAGGTGAGGTCCTCGCGTGGCTGTTGTCAGAGTTGGGGGCAGCGAGCAAGACTCAGCCTTGACCCTACGTAACTATACCTTGCCAGGCACTGAGACCACCTTGGAACCTTGTGTACCCGGTGTCGATGCTGTGCCCCTGATCCAGGCCTTTCCCCATGCCCAAGCCAGTGCCATGCCTGGCATCTATCAGCAGCCAGGGGCCGAGGGGGCCAATGCCCAGGGATTGGTGTCTAACGCCCAGGTATGATACGGTGGAGGGAGGGGTGGGGCCTGTCACCTCTGGGTGCAGAGATGGAGCTGTCCTGCCCTGTCTTCCCGTCTCCCCCCAGGCCCAGCCCTACACAATCGTGTCCCCTGCGGTTTTGAAGGCTGAGCTGCTCAGCCCAGCCCAGCCCAGTTCCGCGCCCCCACCCACTACCAGTCCGGCTGCCCAGGACTCCTATGGCCAGTACCGTGAGTACCTGCTGGGGCTGGGCTACGATTTCCTTTGGGCTGCCTACCCCCCACCCCCACCCCCCAGGCTCCCAGCTCTCCAGGGAAAGCAGCTCGGCATATTCCTCTCTCCCCTGTCCCACAGCAATCCCTGATGTCTCCACCTACCAGTATGACGAGACATCAGGCTATTACTACGACCCGCAGACAGGACTGTACTATGACCCAAACTCTCAGGTGAGTGATGGGACAGGGCTTGAAGGGCTGAGGGCTGGCGTGCGTCCTGAGGAGGTCTCATCAGCCTGGCCTCTCTCCTCCCACGTCAGTATTACTACAACTCCCAGAGTCAGCAGTACCTTTACTGGGATGGGGAGCGGCGCACCTATGTCCCTGCCCTGGAGCAGGTGACTGACGGGCACAAGGAGACGGGGGTGAGCTTGAAGGAAGGCAAAGAGAAGAAGGAGAAGCACAAGACCAAGACAGCCCAGCAGGTACGGGCAGAAGGGCAAGACAGAGCCTGAGGCCTCGGAACCGGGCAGGTGCGAGAGCTTGACCCGGGACCTGCTCTTTCTCTCCCACCTCCACCCCTGCCCTCCACACCCTGCAGATAGCCAAGGACATGGAGCGCTGGGCCCGAAGCCTCAACAAACAGAAGGAGAACTTCAAAAACAGCTTCCAGCCCATCAGCTCTCTGCGGGAAGATGAACGGCGGGAGTCGGCTACAGCTGACGCTGGCTATGCCATCCTGGAGAAGAAGGTGCTCTTTCTCCCCTTCCCCAGCTCCCTTTGCTTGTCCCCAGTTCCCAAGCCAATGATGACCCCGTCTGTCCTGTCCCCTCTCTCAGGGGACGCTGGCTGAGAGACAGCACACCGCCATGGACCTGCCAAAGCTGACGAGTGATGACCGCCTGGTGAGGAGGTCCCCAGTTAGGATGGGCGTGGGTGTGGCGGTGTGCATTTTCCCTGTTTGGGCCCGCCTCAGCGGCACTGAGCTGCCCCCTCTGTCTTTGCAGAGTCCCCCCCGGGGGCTGGTGGCTGCCTATAGTGGCGAGAGTGACAGCGAGGAGGAGCCCGAACGGAGCGCTGAGAGGGAGGAGAGACTTACCGACTGGCAGAAGCTGGCTTGCCTTCTCTGCCGCCGCCAGTTCCCGAGCAAAGAGGCCCTGATCCGCCACCAGCAGCTTTCTGGGTTGCACAAGGTGTGCGCGTCGGGAGGGCCTGGGTTGAAGCCAGGGCGATTTGGGGGTGGGGGGGGGGGGGGGGGGGACCACAGCAACGTGCTCATTCTGTTCCCCCTTCCCTAGCAAAACCTGGAGATCCACCGGCGGGCTCACTTGTCTGAGAATGAGCTGGAGGCCCTGGAGAAGAGTGACATGGAGGTGAGTCTCCTGGATGCCCTTCCATCATCCCTCCCTGCCCCCATCCCTGCCCCTCCCCCTGCCCTGACTGGGGGCTTCTCCCTCTGCTTCAGATGAAGTACAGGGACCGGGCAGCCGAGCGTCGGGAGAAGTATGGCATCCCGGAGCCCCCAGAGCCCAAGAAGAGGAAATCTGGGGCTGTGACGGCTGCCACCGTGTGAGTGCTCTGCTGAGGGCCCGCAGGGACCAGGGGAGTGAGATGAGAGAAGCTCAGGCCTCTCCCAGCCACCTCTCCTCATTCCCTGCCCCTTTCCTCTTTCTTGCAGGGACTTTGAACAGCCCACCCGAGATGGGCTGGGCAGCGACAACATTGGTAGCCGTATGCTGCAGGCCATGGGCTGGAAGGAGGGCAGCGGGCTGGGTCGCAAGAAGCAAGGCATTGTCACTCCCATCGAGGTGCGCCTGTCCCCCCCCCCACTCCCTCCCCATTGGCCAGGGCCCCAAAGCAGCTGGCCATCCCCCCCCTCACCACTGGCTCTCTGTCTCCTTAGGCCCAGACTCGTGTCCGTGGCTCAGGACTGGGGGCCCGGGGCAGCTCCTACGGCATCACCGCGTCTGAGTCCTACAAGGAGAGTCTGCACAAGACCATGCTGACTCGCTTCAACGAGGCAGAGTAAACCCTGGTCCAGGCCTCCCCCATCCCCTCGCCTCAGCCCCCGTCTGGGACAGCCTTGACCTAAAGGCTCCAAGAGGGGGAAGAGGGCGGCCCTGCTTAGCCTTGCCCGGCCTGTCAGCTGGCCCTTGTCCCCGACAGCCTCTTTGTTTCTTTTCTTGGGAAGCCATGGCCCTTGCCCACTTACCTGCCCTCTGGCCACTTCTCCTCTTCTTTTTCTAATAAAACCAGAAAAGCCCCGGACTTTGAGCTTTGTCCTGAATGCCACTCACATCGGGATCCTTGGCTCCAGGGTTTGGGAAATGGCCCCAGCTGGGCCATCTGCTGGCAAGCGCGTATCCCATGATGCCCATGGAAGGGTTGGGGGTGTCAGAATTAGGCTCGGCTTTACCCAGAAGGCTCTTTAGGGGTCATTTAGTCTGCTTCAGGGAAGTGACTTGTCCACAGCCACCCGGGCAGTCAGCAGAGTTGATGCTGCTCCTAAAGCCACAGCTCCCTTACTCACATCACTCTGGCCCTCTTACCCCGTGAGGCAAAAGGAAGGCAGCCCCTGGGGTCTCTTGGATAGGACCAAAACATCCCTGACAGCCTGTGATGCTTACAGTGTGACTGTGGGCAAGTCTCTTAACCCGGGCCTCAGTTTCCTCCTCTGTAGAATGCTGTCATCCCTTGTAGCACTAGAGCCACCAACCTCCCCCCCCCCCCCCAACCTGGCTGGGAGGAAGGGACAGAGTAGGGCAAGAGCGAGAAGAGACAAGGCCCAGAGGGCCTAAGCAGCTGGGGGCAGGGTCCAGTCAGTCTGCAAGCACTTATTAAGCACTTAACGTGTGGAAGGCACTGTGCTTGCCGAGCGCTGGGAATACAAGGAAAGACCCAACCGAAGTTCAAAGTTCAATGATTCCGCTAAAACAAGCGAGAGCTCCAGCAGGGCCAGAGACCCTCCAGAGCGGTCAAGGCCCATCCTGGGCTCAGCACTCTTCGCTCCGTGAACAATATCAGCTTGATCTCTTAAGCGCCTGTTAGCCGAGTCACCTGAGACCTCCAGGGTACAGGCCAAGTGGCTCTCTGTAGCCCTTTGAAGATTCTCTCGTCGTACTCCGACACCAGCCCTGGGAGGCGAGGGTCAGAGGACAAGAGCTGGAAGGGCTGTTTTGAGTCATATGTTTCAAAATTGTTTCAAAATTATTTCAAAATGGCTGATCTCGATTGTGGGCATTCCCTTGTTCCACAGCCCACCCACGTTTGTGAACTTCTTTGTAGCTTTTTCAGCAAACCCTGTTCTTTGCCCTCACCAAGACCTCAGTATTTAACCAGGCCATCACCCCTGCCCTGGCTGCACTCTCCTCGCTTCCCCATCTCGACCCCTTGGTCAGCCAGTTAACTCTACGTTATCCTCTTGAATCTCTTACCCTAGCTCTGAACTTGCCCTGCCAAGCCTCAGCCTTGGACTGTTCCCTTCATGCGGTGCCTTTGTCCCTGCACACTCGCTGTTGAACCCAAACCATGCTGCACTACAAATCGCTGACAACGTCAGTCTCAATTGGGCTCCCACCATAGCAAGGCAGTCCTTTTATAACTCTCTACTTGACTCACTGTCTTCACCGCAGCATCGATTCCAAACCTGCCACCCTATTAGCTGAGAATCTGGCCATTCAGTGAGAGCTTTCCTCCCCTCTTTATCTCCCGTCACTCATTCATGTCACAACTATCTCCTTAACCCCATCTCACCTGAAGAGCAGGCCCTTTACGTGGACAAGTGATCCCATTCCATCCTGGCTTCTCCAGCAGATCCCGATCCCTCTATCATTCCCACTCTCTCACTAACCTGCAGTCTCCCTGTCTACAATGGGGAAGACTTAAGTGCCCGTGACTCTCTCATCGTGAAAAAAACTCTGGATCTATGCTTGCTAACTCTTCTCCTATCTCTCCTCACTTTTGTGGCCAGACTATAAAGGCCGTCTCTAAGCGACGGATAGACGCCTTCACGTCCTCCCATCTGTCTCTGACTTTCTGCCTCATCACTGAAATGGAATTACTCTCTCCAGAGTTAGCAGTGATCTCTTAATGGCCTTTTTTCTCCATCCCCATCCTCCGCTCCCTTTGCCATTCTATATCACTATTTTTAGGAGATGCCTCTCCTCTCTATCTGCTCCATCTCGACTTCCTTTGCTGGATCTTTATCCGGGGCACATCCACTAAACGTGAGTGTCCCCCGAGGCTCTGTCTTGGGCACTCTTCTCCCTCCACGATGATATCATCAGCTCCCATGGATTCAGTTTGCCTCTCAGCAATTCCCGATGCTGGGCTATCAGGCCAGTCATGGCCAGTTGTTTCCAGCAGGCCACAGATTGGGTCAAGGTAGGTCCAGTTGCTGAGACTGCTAACAAAACACTGCGCCACCCCTCTAAGGGGGCTCCCTTACTCCTACTGTCACCACAGCCTCAGCGACTTCCCATGTGGGGGTCACCTTTTCCCGTAGAGAGGTCCCAGACCCCTGAAGATTGCCAGATTTAACCAGTTCTAGCCCTCAACCCTCCAGTCTCATATCCACCTGGATGCCCTGTAGACCAGTGGTGTCAAACTCAAGTAAAAACTGATCCCTCTAGGTTACACACTGACTTGGAGAACCACAAAATCCTATTGTGTTGTCTTTTTGTTTCCTTACTTTCCCAGTTCCTTTCTAATCTGCTTTGGGCTACGTTCGGGAGTTTGATAGCTTGGGGCTTTCCACTAAGCGTGTTCCAAACTCCATCCCTCGTGACACCATCCTCATCTGCACTCCCGATAGCCAGTTTGGGATCAAGTCCTGTCATGTTTGCCTTTGCGCCACCTCTCGTCTCCGTTCCCTTCTCTCATCTGGGGACTGCAGGGGCAGCGAGGTGGTGCAGTGCAGAGAGCTCCAGCCTTGGAGGCAGGAGGACCTGAGTTCAAATCCGGCCTCAGACACTTGATACTCACTAGCTGTGTGACCCTGGGCAGGTCACTTAACCCTGACTGCCTCGCCAAAAAAAGAAAAAGTTCATCTGGGGACGATTGTCGTACCTGCCTCAATGCTTTACATTCCACCTTCTACACGTCTGTCAAATTCTTCCTCAAGTACAAGTCAGAGTCTATCATTCCCCTATTCAGTCGACTCCAGTGACTCCAGGCTCAAATATCATTTCCTCAGATTGGCTTAGAAAGCTTTTCATGGGGGCAGCTAGGTGGCGCTGCAGTGGATAGAGCACCAGCCCTGGATTCAGGAGGACCTGAGTTCAAATGTGGCCTCAGGTGCATAACACTTACTAGCTGTGTGACCCTGGGCAAGTCACTTAACTCCACTGCCTAGCCAAAAAAAAAAAAAGCTTTCCATGACTTTTGCAGTTTCCTTAGACCTTACTCCTCCATCCCCACCACAGACTCCATCTGACTGCAGTTCCCCCCACCCCATCTCCACCACCTGGCCTTCTTGGCTCCCCTTAAGTCCCAGCCAAAGTCCCACCTTCTACAGGAAGCCTTGCCTGACCCCTCTTCATTCCCAGTGCCTTCCTTCTGCGGAGCAGCTCCAACTTAACATGGAGAAACATTGTGTAGACCTTGAATTTGCATGCTGTTAGTCACGTTCGACTGAGCTCCTTGAGAGCAGGGACTGGGTTGGCCTTTCTTTGTATCTCCATCCCTTAGGACAGTCCTTGGCGCATAGTAGGTGCTTAGGAAATGTTCCTTGACTGTCCTAAGCACCCAGAGGGCCTATACAATGCAGTGGAGGCTGCCTATACCCACTCACTACCTGGTGCACATTGTAGGACCCAAGCATCCAGCACTCATCCCTTACTCTCAGTCCTTTTTCTGACCATATGTGGTGAGATCTCAGAATGTCAGCCTCAAAGGGGGCTTGGAGATCATAATGCAGCTTTTTTGGCCACCGTATTGCTGTTGATTAATCTCCAGTGTGTATTCCACTAATATTCTATTCCTGCCTCCTCTTCTCCTCATGAAGATTTTTTGACACCCGAATGTACCACTTTTTTGTCCCTGTTAAACTTCATTTTATTAGATTGAGCCTGTCAGGATCTTTGGGCATCTCAGCTATTGACCTTTTCCAGCTTGATGTTGTCTGCTAATATGATAAGCCTTCAGTCAGTCAACAAATACAACAAGAATTTGCTAAATGTCTATGACGTGCTCGGCATTAGTAAGAGTGATAGATGGACAAAAAAGGAGAGAATCCAAAATCTTGACCTTTTGCACTAATATATATCTCAGTTGTAGAGAAGAGGGAAATGTTTAACCCCTGAACAAATAGAAAAAATGGTGGGAAACTAAACAGATGGATTGTTACCAAATTAAGGAGTTTTTGCGTGATGAAAAACAGTGCATCTCGAATTGAAAGGGAAGAATCTTTGTCTTTTGCTAAAAGGGAAAAAAAAAAAAAGTGACATTGTCACACTGTAAGAAATTGACCACTGCATCCTCTGAAGAGAAGCCTCCTTGCACTCCTTAGATTAGCTCTGAATGAGAACGGGCAGGGTGTCCTACTGGGGGGCTGTGATGTGGGGCAGCCTCCTAGCTCATGCTGGCCCCAAGCACGATTCCTTCTCCAACAATACTCCTAGTACCTCAGAGCTTGTGACTCAGTGACGACTGGCTTCTAACCAGATGTTTTCACTCCTTACCTGCCACTTAGAAACGTAAGGGACATAGAAAGTAATGTAGATGGAAGAAACGGAATCCCAATAGACACTGACTACAGGCATGGAAACATAACCCTTAACAATGCACAGTAGAAACACCAGAAGAGGATGCAGAGGGCCAACGGGCGTTTTGGTTACTGTTTTGTCCACATGTAACTGAGTGTTTGGCCACACTACCGTCATCGATCCAGAAGCAGATACAGAGCTTGCAAGGGTCAGGGGCCATTGTTACTGCCATTTTGGAATCATGGATGCAAGGGAACAGAGTAGGGAGAGCTACAACTCAAGGACACCCCAGCCATGGCTACCAATGTTCAGTTGTACCAAGTCAAGACCTCTCATTAGGGAACAGGAAGCTGAAGTACTCTGTCTCTAGGCCACAAGAGGATTAGGCCTTTTTTGTCTTCTCTGAAGGCCAAACAGTAACTGCCAGAAAGATGAGACACCCCACAACACAGTGCACACCCGATTAGGGGAGGGTGCAGGTGCCCCCATTCCTCTCAGGTGAAGTCTCCACCTCATCCTTATAAAGATCATTCCTTTTCTGTTCCTTTTCTACTTGTCTGAGAA